TCTCGGCAGAGTCTGGAGTTCAGATATTCCAGACCAGGTTCTACAGATACTGCTTCTCTAGATTGAGAAGTCACAGCTACCGTAATTTGGGCACATATTGCGAATGCTTCCAAAAAGGCTTTCAAAACATCAACCACTTGCTCAGTCGACTACCCGAAGTCTGCGGGGACGGTCATGAATTACTTGAGACATTGTCTCAAGAGACTCTGCTCAAGACTCGGGTCATCTTCTGCCGAAGGTGAAACGCTGGCAGAGCATCAGGAATGGGCTTTCACGTCAGGGACCCGAAAAGATGGGCGGTCATCGAAACTGGCCTACTGAACTACTGGCGTTTAACAGTGCTACATTAAACTACATACCATTAGTCGATGAAATGCTTCATATATCTCAGCGATCAGCTTCATGCCAGCTATTCGAGGTGGCTGCTACATTTTATTCTTCTGTCACTTAGGGACTGCCAATCAATTAGTTTTCTTTATTGCTGGCTCTTTCTAGTCTCAGAGGCAGACGCGTCGAATACGGTTCAGATTTTGTCTTTCTTGTGCCGACGTTTTAGCTTCAGTAGAAGACAATAGCAGTCTAGAACATAGTCCTTCCATGCACTTACCCAAGGTTAATTTTGACCTCCTGAGGGTCTTCCGTCGGTGGGTTGGGCAAATAGTAGTTGCTTTGCCTTCCTTTCTGGAGGCATTCTCAAAGCGTGCCCAAACCGTCGAAGCTATGACCTTAATCTGGAGAAGCCGCGGCTGTAAACCAAGGCTCTGTCAGACATTTGTACTCCGGACCATGTCGAGACGCATGAGCCTATTGTAGTAATTCACATTTTGTTTGCTGCACTACTCGTCTGTTGCATCTGAATCCAGTGTCGTCGTATTCGATGTCAAAAGTGTACTCATTTTTATGTCCTCAGATGTTGAAACGTTCCTTGGAAACATTCACTAACTGTTAATGAATCGTCTCCAATATTGTTACCAATGACTTTGCAAATGACCGTCTTGTATTTTTTTTGTTAAACTGGTTTGCTGCAACGTAACACATCTAGAATGTCGATATTATAGCCGTTTGACCCTGGGGCCATTGCTCGAATATTTCATGGAAAGCTTCTACTTCTGCGGGGGAAGAGACCTTTGAGTGAACCAAACGCTGGTTGAGGTTTTTGTTAGTATTGCCTAAAGTTGCTACTCCAAGATAAGACCTCACTTATCTCAGCACAGTTTAGACGTTAAACGTTTATCAGAGAGACCAGTATCTATGTGATAAACAACCCTGTAAGCGTTTTTTTAAAAATTTAATGGACCTCAACGTCCAATATCTGTAACCTCACGGTCTCCCGCAAGTAGACACTGCCTCTGAGGACAAATTCAGGTCTGTCTAATGCAAATTGCTATGAACAGACATGAACCAGCTACAAGCAATAAAGGCGATTGATTAATTTAAATGGAAGATTTGCCTTCCGTAGAATTTTGGTCAAATATTTTATGATTCTATGACTAATCGACAGAAAAACACAGGTTTATTTGTAAGAAAAAGCTGCATCGAACCTCCCATAGAAATGAATGACTTCTCAGTCGTGACAAATATCAAATATTATCCTCCATTCAGAAGAATAAATGCATCAGTACAAACGTCTGGCGAATATTCATTCGCCAGAATTTCATTATCTCAATCACACAAATGACTCAACGTATCAACAGTCATTTTCTGTTCATTTACCAGTTTCTTTTGTATAGTATTTCTAAGGTTTGTTTTGGTTTGCCAGTAAGTTCTTCAGAGCCTTTCATTTAGAAAGTAAACAGCTGGCGGAACCGTTTGATCATGCTTTCGAGGCTTTTAGTAGTTTCCACCGATCCTTCATCTGGGTATTTAGTGAAATGAATTTTTTATACATATCCTTGAAATGCATATGGAGATCCGTTAAACCGTGTTTACAGTTTTCTGGTCTCCAGACTTTTCCAGGAATAAAGGGGTCCTCAGGACTTTAAAGAATATCCTTAGCGGCACATGGAAAAGAACAGCCTGCTACACTTCGCTCTAATCGTTGCTCCATTTCTCGCTGGGAGGGGGTGGCGGCAGTGCACTTCAGTCAGGAAGGAATCCGTTTTCATTTCGTACATTTTCTTTTTAAACAACAACTGGGTTT